CCTTCTCATTTCCTTCCCGGAAAGGTTTGATTTTCAAGTGAAGCTGTTCATTGCTGATTCTTTGCCCTATCTTTAAAGTCTTAAGATAAGAATAAATTTCTAAAAACAATTTGGGAGCCGAAGATATGTCCCTTGTAGCTTCCCACATTTGTAGTGTCCCTGTTTGCTTGACTATAAACAACACAGAAAACACACTATAATGTATTTGAAAATAGTTGCGTGTTGGAAAGCAGCAGAAGGCTCTCCTGACACCCCAGAGTCTCATCATGCCTTAGTTTCTTAACAGCAAGCTCCAGAAAAATCTCCTCTAGCTTTGGGGATGAGCATGTGGGGCAGGAGTCATCTAGGAGCTCAGGTTGGGTGCTGTCCATTCTGTGTGATGGGTTGGATCTTCTCTAGAGAGACGTCAGTGTCATAGTCCAATATGACTGATAGGGCTGGGGACAGCTTCTCCAGGGGTTTGGCTATTCCACCTGCTTCCTCCTTTTTAAGGTCCTCGGAGGAGCCCACGGCATGTGGGATCAGGTAAACCAGATTGCACTCCTTGGAGATGGAGCCTCGTGGCTCATGATGGCTGGAAAACACTACGGCCCCGTTGTTATTGATGCTAACTGTCTCTATGGCATTATTAGTTGCAGGGCAAAGTCTGTAGCATCCTAAGAGGGTTGAAAATGCCTTCCGAAAATCAGCATTAAAGGCATAAATGATGGGGTTCAAGGAGGAATTGGCCCACCCAAACCACACAAACACGTCAAAGGTGATAGAATCGATGCAGAAGGGCTGGGTCTCCCCGGACCCACAGAAGGGCAAAATGCAGTTCAAGATGAAGAAAGGCAGCCAACAGCACACAAACACCCCCATGATCACCGACAGTGTCTTCAGAACTTTGGTCTCTCTTTTGAAGGACATCTTAAAAGAACTTTCAGGTTGAGAACACTCAACAGGTTTCCCATTACCTGTGGTGGTCTGGCAATTCTTGGCATGGACTGCTGCCCTCTCCAAGGCAGAGATGCGCCGTATTTGTTTCTGGGCGATCCTGTAGATCCTGGTGTAGGTGACAAGCATGATGGCCACAGGGATGTAAAAGCTTATTACGGAGGATGAAATGGCATATGTCCTGCTCAGGCTGGAATCACAGTTGTCTATGGTCTCACCCAGGGATGTGGCATTCCCATCAGAGGGACTGGTGGGTTTTGCCTTGTGCCAGCTGAGCTGCACTGGGATGAAGGAGATGAGGACAGACAAGGTCCATGCCACACTGATCAGGATGAAGGCTGCCTTGGGGGTCATCTTCCTCTCATACCGGAAGGGGCTAGAGATAGCCCAATACCTGTCCACACTGATCACACAGAGATTGAGGATGGATGCAGTGGAGCACATGATGTCAAAGGCCACCCAGATGTTACAGAAGGACCCAAAGGGCCAGAAGCCAGCAATCTCAGCCACCGCTTTCCAGGGCATGACCAAGACAGCCACTAAGAGATCCGACACAGCCAAGGATATAACAAAGAAGTTGGTCACCTTAGAACGCAGGTGTCGGAACCTAATGACAGCAGCACAGACCAGTGTGTTCCCCAGGAGAGTGGACAGGATGAGCAGCGACAGGAAACAGGCAGTGAGGATGCGGAAGGAGAAGTCCCTCTGCACCACCAGCCCGGCCCGGTCCATGGTGGAGGTGTTCAGAGTCCTCATCTTCCCGAGGGAAAACACATGCGGGGCTCTGACACTCTCAGGTTCAAAGCAGGGATCAGGAGTCAGCCAGACTTCCAGGAGTTCTCTCTCACCAGGCAGCCCCTTGCCCGGCCAGACTGCTCCCCTGGGTGCAGGACCTCACCAGCATTCCGTGAGAGGACCGCAGGAATTGCGTGGCGGGAGCCTCCTGTGGGTAGTCTAAGTCAGTCCCGAGGACGGTCCCTCTTGCTTTCTGCAACTGTTTTCTGACCCCCTTGCTCCAGGTCACTGTCACGGGCACCAGCTGGCCCCTGAATTCCCCAAGGAAAATATTGGCTTTTTAGCATGTTCTAAGCCATCAATCCAGAGCCTCCCAGGCCTCTGCCCTGCTAGTCAATTGCAATCACATTTCTGGGCTGTTGCTTCCCTGATGGTGACAGGGAATTCTCCCCTCTTCAGACGCAGCTGAAAATACATGTCTCGCTCCTCCAAGCCCCTGGCTCCTCAGCAGCTCTCCAAACGCCCTAAAAAGCAAAGGGAAAGCACAGGGTCGTTCGCCTAGACTCGAGCAGATCGCATCTTTACTCACATCAAGCCCAACCCAGTAATTTTCTGGACAAGCCTGTCCGGGCCACCTACCTTGCCTCGGGGTTGTCTCTCTCACAGCCCTGGGAGCTCAGAATTCGGACTTCGCCCGTGCACACGCTCAGGAGGCGCGCCTCAGGCCAGCCAGCCGCGCCGCAGGGGTTCGGCTCGCGATGCGCAAAAAGCGCTCGGGCGGATTTGGGGAAAGGATCCCCAGCCAGGCCCCCACAGAGGCGGCGCTGCCCCGCTGCCTCCAACTGCTAGAGATTGTCCAAAGCGGCGACCCCGGCAAAGCACGCCCGGACGCTGGGAGCTTTCTAGGGAGAGATCACTCCCAGGACCAGTCGCTCGGGTAGCCTATTTTCTTTGCTTCCTTTCTCCAGGAGCCAAGTGCCTGGGCACCCCGCGGGTGGCCTTCGGCCCTCAGGGCAGAGCCCCCACCTCCCCACAGCGCGGCCCGCTACCTCTCAGCAGCCTGTGGGAGCGCGAGGCAGAGAGCAGAGCTGGCACCGGCGGGCGCTCGGCCGGCCGGGTTCCCGCGGGGCACGGCGCACCCCGCCCTCGTGTCCCCTCCCCTGCCCTGGGGGCGGGCCTCGCCTCACAAGCAGAGTTGCGGGCGCCAGCCGCACGTGGTTCCCCCGGATGCTGCTGCGGGCGAAGGGGGTGGGGAACTCCCGGCGAGCGCCTGCCCTCGCTGGTTACCTCGCCGACCCCCAACCCTGGACAGCATGCGCAGGGCCCGCGAGGCGACCCCGACGGTGGGACCTCAAGTAAGCCCGAGTCGCCCCGTAAGCAAGCTCGCCCCGACATCCAGCGCCTCTTCGGGTAAACCCCCAGCGCGACCCAAAGCCCTAAACGAGAGGGGGCCTTCCCCACTCTCACACAGCAGCCACTAGAACAGCTGGCCGGCGTCCGACCCGCGCTGTCTCCGAGTACCCCCAGCTGGGCTGCGACGTGCCCCGCGGGCGCCCGTACTCACCGCTCGCGGGCGGGGCGCTGCGCACCGGTGCTCTGGGCAGTGCGCGCCGCTGCGCCCGGGGCCCTCACTTCGCGCTCCGCCCGAGTGGCCCGCGCGTCCCGGGCCGCGGTCACCCGGGACTGCAGCCCGTGCCCCTCGCCGGGCGAGCGCCCCAGCTCCAGCGCCGCGCTCCGTGGGCCCGGGGCGCCCTCTGCCGGCGGCCGCGGCTTCCCGCGCGGGCTGCGCCTCGCAGGCGCCGACCTCACTCGCAGCAGCAGCTCCGGTAGCCACCAGGGACCCGCGCCCGGACTCGCTCCTCCCTGTCCATGACCGCCAGAGCCTGGGAAAGGGGAGACAGACGCTTCCTCACTCAGGACTCCTCTGCTTGAAATACCCCGAAAAACTGACGAGGGTGAAAAATTCCTCTGGCTGGCATTGCATTCATTGAACCAGTGTTTCCTCCTGTGTGCCCACTGCGCGCCAAGCACTGGGGCCACGGGGTAAGCAAGGTGCAAGCCTTACTCTCAAAGGGAACAGAGAGGCCTGGAACTTGTTGAGCAGCCTCTGTGTCCCAGGCGTACGCCTGGCGTCCTTCACCCCCTTAGAACAATCCTCGCTCGCAGGCCGGCTCATCTCCACTTCGCCGTGTGGAATAACAGGCTCAGCAAGGTGGGGGACCTGCGCAAAGTCACACGGCTAATGAGAGTGCTGGCTGGCTGCCCGACCCCCGCCCAACTTACCGCCTCCAGCTCTGGAGCCCACAAACAAAATAACTACTTATCGAGCTAAATTACAGGCAAGAGCCCGCTGGAGTCAGGAGGGCTTGGTGAAGGATCCCCCCAGCTTCTGCCGGTTGCTCCAGGGCCGGGCAATGCCTCGCGGCTCAGACTTTGTACTAATTGTCCTTAAATGAAGACATCACCTGCCTTCCTGTGCCTTAGAAAGGTGGGAAGAGAATAAGCACAGGGCTCCGAAGTCACACTGCCTGGTTTCCTGTCCCCACCCTACCACTGTGGGCTGCATGTGCCCTCTCTCCTCTCTGAGCTTGGTTTCTTCCTCTGCGGAACGGTGATGACCCTAACAGGATTGTCGTAAGTACTAAATGCAAAGGTGTTTGCAGGGGACTGGCACCAAACCTGGGAGCTAGTCAGCCCTCCAAAGCAGGAACCCCCGGGGGCTCATTTAAAGGCCAGTAGGCTAATCTCCATGCACCACATCAGGAGCAGGAATTTGCTCTGTAAAAACCCCGAACCTACATAATAATTCCATCTAATTGGAGTACAAGCTGCACCTTGGTTTTAGATGCAAGGACCACATTACTGGCACAGACCTTCCTGCGCCTGTGCTCACAGCTCTCTCCTCCCACCCGTGGCCTCCCTGCCACACACAATGTCTCACAGACTGATGGTCAGAGACACGATTTTTGCTGCACACATGTCCCAAGAGCCATATTCCTTAAGCCATGCTTAATGTAACACTTCCAGGTCATTTTCCTCAAGGCAGTCATTCTCCCAGCTTCTTGACTTTGTTTCATCTTTCTTTCTTTCCCTTTATGCTAATAAACACAAATTAAAAGATATGTTTCTGGTTTAAGACAATCATGTGAGGCTGAATGTTTTAACTCCTTACATTCTAACCGTCCCTATCTGCCATTTTCCACTGCAATTACCCAGAGATAAACAAGGTAGGGAAATCGGGCAATAACCTTGGAAAGCAGGAAACGGTGGGATCCTTTTCCTCCCTTCCTCCCTTGGGATAGCCCATATTGGGGGAAAACTACCTCTCGGTCACTAGAGGAAGAAACCCCAAAAGAACACACTAACCCCCCACCCCAAGATCGAGGTAGCAGGGACTGGAGGTGAGGATGAGGCCAATTTGAGGGTAAAATTTCTGTCCAATGACTGCCTTTGAGAAGTGCCCCCAGTTCCTACAGCCAGCAATGCCCAGGGCTCTTGAAATTAAAACAAGGTGACAACCACACCACAAAACCTGGGTCTCGGGTGGCATCACACCCAAGGAAACACCAGTTCAACAGTCAAAAAATATTTGATATAAAATTTAAATATTAACCAAAACCTTGTTGCAAGGAAATGTCATTCATAACAAATTTCTTCGTGTCCTCATTTCACTCAAGCTCAGCAGCTGCTCAGAAAAAAAAAAAAAAAAACTTACTTTGCTTGAGAAATCCCCCCAATTTTTTCAAATTAGCCCATACTGACCTTTGTTGTTTTTTTCAACTCACTCACCTGATAGATCTAAGTGATCATATCAACATATAACACTTTCGTAGTGGTCAAGAGGTTTTTCTCACCCATAAGTAAATTTCTGCCATTTTCAATGTCAGAACATTGGATTTCCTCCTTACCCACATGTGCCTTGAAGGTCTCTGTCAAAGCTCATGTCGAACTGAATTGCGACTGTCATGGTAGTATGAGGTGGGACCTTTGAGCGGTCATTAGGCCAGAGGGCTCTGCCCTCAGGAATGGATTAATGCCGTTATCTTGTGAGTGGGTTACTTATTGCTGGAACAGGCTCCTGATAAAAGAATAAGTTACATTTCCTTACCCCACCCCCTCTTTCCTCTGTTTCCTGCCCTGTCACGGCAACAAGAAGACCCTCACCAGATACAGCCCATCGTCTCTGACTTCCCAGCCTCTAGAACCATGAACCAAATCGACTTCTATTCTTTTTAGTTTACTCAGTCTGTGGCATTTTGTTATAGCAGCAGAAAACAGACGAAGACGCCACAGAATGCAAAAAAGGCCCAGCAACCAAAACAGCAAAGAGAAAATCCTCCTGAACAGGTGGAGAAAGAGAGACGAACCTGTGACTAACCTGTGAATAAGGAGGTAATTTTGTTTCCTATCACCAGGGAAACAAGAGAGTTGGGCCAATTTCTCCATGATTCTGTAACTCTAAGACAGACAGCCGAGACCGCTGCTAACAGACTTAGGCCACTGGCTTGTGGACATCCTTTGCTGAGGAAACAGGAAAGAGTACAATGTAGCTCAAACCTAGGGGTTTCACTTGGCACAGAGTGTGAATTTCAGAGGCACTTAGAGTTTGGCTGGAGACTTGGAGTGTTTCTGATTTTTCTGTCTTGAAGCTAAGGTGAAACAAAGCCTTTGGTTTTGTTCTATAAAAATCTCCCCCACAAACAGCAAGAACACTAATATAAATGCAAGCAGGTATTCGCATTAGATCTTGCTGGCAATGTAAACCCAAACACAAAAGCACCTTTGTTTCCCAAATTGGTATGTCTTTTAAACTCTACTGTGATTTATGCACTGCAAGGAGGGGGAGTTTAAAATGATGCTTTTCAACAAATTTTTATTTGGAGTATGTAAAAGGCAATGAATACAGAAGGCATGCCATCTAAGGGGGAGCTTAATCTCATAAAAGAATAAATAAAACAACTAAACTGTCAGGTATATCAAACGATATATTTAAGAGGCTTTAGGATTATTAAAGCTGATTTTAAAAGAGATAAAGCTTGGCTGACCTTGACTAAGTAATTAGAATGCTTGTTTCAAGCAACAAATATAACTTCTCTGAAATTCCTAATCCCATGTCATATTTACCTCTCCTACAGTTATTATACAGTTCAAAAAATCAATACTTTAAAATTTAAAAATCAACACATATTCCTTTTGGTAGGGGTTAGAAGTATCACATGCATATTGTGATTTCTATTGTTGCATCTCTTCTTCCCTTTTTTTCTTTTCCTCTTTTTCTGCCTTTTATAGGCTTAACCAAATAGCTTTTATAATTCCATTTTATCTCCATTACTGGTTTATTTTCTATAATTATTTGTTATTTTCATGGTTGCTTTAGAGTTTGTATCATACTATATATATGTGCATGTGGGTATACATATTTTTCACAGTCTATCTTCAAGTGATATTATACCATTCCATGTATAG